TAATATATATAAATATATAAAATATATGAAAAGTTGATGTGGGTACTCAAATGAAAGGTCTCGATGAGTGTAATGTCGGGATGAGCTTATATCTTTGAAAATGTCAATAGTTGACAAGATAGCAATATCAGTTGTTAATGACATGAATCTTACTAAAAAAAAAACCGATTTCATTATATGATTATCCTGGACACAAAATTTTTTCTTATTCTCTTAATAATATAGATTATTACCATTAATTCAATAATTAGATCAGCAGAATAAAAAAATTTCATATCAATCACCTTGATGTTAAGAGAACAGTAATCTAAATTCTATAATTTATTATTAATTATTCAAGCGATTAACATAGAATTATAATCTCTTGTCTCAAGATTCTATAAATATCTAATTTAGTAGTAATAATAATAATACTACAATGTTATGATTATTAATTCACAGCAGAAAAAAAAAAAAAACAGAATATAATATCATGATTCTGCATTATTAATTTATATTCATGTATTAGTATTCATACTCTAATCATAGTTGTAGCAGGTACAACGAAATAATAGTAAATGTCAGTTCATTCATTCACTTATTTCTTTTCATTGAATTAAATTAAAATGTATGTGTTTATAGACAGCCCGGGGGTATACTAATCGAATAATTAATCACTTCCGACACATGACCTACACTACACGCATTAGAACTCTTAATTAAGAGATATCTTAACGGTTACTTTGATATTTATGCCGATAAAAAAAAAGAATTAAATATTATTTATTGCATTTTTTAATAATGGTGATTTGTAATTAATTTTAGAAAAATCATACTTTGAATATTATTAATTGTAAACGTCGGGAAATTTTTTTAATGTTTTGATAGAGTTAAAAAATTTTTTTATTAAATTTAGTAAGACTTTTTTTTAAATTAATTATTGGAAGAAAATTTGTTTTAGAAATTTTGTTTTTTCTAATTAATTAATTATTTGATTTATTTCTTAGCATTAATGTCCAAGAACGCGTAATTGATTTATGCGATAAAAAAATTTTTTATTTTACACACTATTGGCAATAACTAATTAAAGTTAATGAATAGGTATGGTTTTGTGGAAAAAATGAAAGTATGATTATTGCTTCGATCTTTTAACGAATTATTTATTGCTCAGTATTCAGCATATATTATGTAGTTACAAGTGTCATTAATGGCAGGAGTAATTTACGGTTTTTGTGTAAAGAAAATTAAAAATTAATGAGAAAGAAAGACATTAACTTTTTATATTGGTAGAAAAAATTATAAGGATATACTTATTTATTTATGGTCCGATTTTTATTTTGTAAATTATAATTGCCAGCGGAAAAAAATTTATTATAATTAAACAAAACAATATTAAGCTGCAATTTTTTCAATTTGCAACTTTTTAAAAGGTAGGTAAGGAGATTAAAAAATAAATAGAGTTGATAAATTTATTTTTTAAAAAATTATTATGTTTACTCCTTCGTAAGACCTTAAAAAAATTAATCCCAGCCATTTTTTCGATAAAAGAAAAAATTTTTTTCAGATCAAAATTTGCAAGTTGTCCCAGCTAATTTTTTTAATTAAAAAATTTAGTATAACAAAAAATTATTAGGTGACTGAAAGGCTGTTAGAAGAGATGTCTCAGATAGCTTAACTGCAAGAGCCCTTAGTGTGTAACCAAAAGAACCGGGTTCGATTCTCGGTCCGGGTTGTTCAAATTATTTTTCTGTTTTCTGAGTTAAAGTTACTCAAAATAACTATCTTAACATATCCCATATAGCAATCTTTTTCAAGGCTTGAGTAAGTCTGGTCTCAATTTCGATAGTTGTTAGTGTCTTTTTCCACCTATGGGTCTTGCTCCAGATACTTGCAGCAAATTCAATTGACAAGTCTTGAACAAGCCTTGTACAAGAACTTTCGGCCAGATTATAGCTCAAGAATTGTGTAAGAAAATTGAGAAAATCTGAAGATGCTTATCGATAAACTAACTATATCAATTCTTGAGAAAAACTGACACCAGAAGCATGCTGAATATACTTGTGCAAGACTTGCTCAAGATCTGCTCAAGATCAAATGTTTTCGAATGACCGTTCTTATCATTCTGCCCCTCCTATATTTACTATAGGATCAGTGGATTTCATTCAGCTTAACCTTTTAGAGTATAGACCTACTGTTTTATCGATCAAGACAAAATTATTTTAAAATGACCACCACTGAATCAATAGATCTTCAAGTAGTGGAGGGGAAAAAGTGCTATAAAATATATAATGCATCAAGCATCTTGAGCAAATCTTGAATAAGTTACGCTTCAACATTTGCTGTTAGTTTTTGGTTGACAAATGCTTTAGAAATGAACAAATTACTGAGAATTACGGATCTTGAGCAAGTGATGGGTAAGTGTCTGTTATGAGTTTCTGATTCAAAAAATCCGTCAAGAAATTTTTCAATGCACCTTGCATTAGATTTGTCTCATATTCTTCCACAAGATGTCTTAAGCTAGTTATATATAAATCTTGAAACAGTTCTTTCTACACGAACTTGAGCAAGACCCATATGTAGAAAAAGACACTATCAACTAGGGGTTTTGCTCAAGACACTGGCACCTAAATCTTGCTCAAGCACATGTTACCTGGGGTAACTTCGTCAATCTGGGTCCACAAAATTTTTTATACCAAGATAATCCCAATTTTCTTCGATTTTTGCAATTTTTGATGATTTTTATAATTTTTTTAGATTTAAAACGGTTTATAATTAAAGTACGATCGAAATTAGTATTTAACAGATCAAAATACATGAAAATTATGCTTGCATTAGATCTCAAAATTTTTTTTTTGCCAAAACATCGAATTTTCGCTATTTTTTGGGGTTTTTTGCAATTTCCTCAAAATTGAAGCCCGGACGGCCTAAACTGACTTGAAATTCGTGTTCAGCGGGTCGATAAACATGCCCGTAGATAGGTGGCGACCGGTGTACAGACAACTTTTTTTTTTGTGTGCCGGTGTAATTCTAGATTTTTAGGTGATAATAAAACATACTTTCGCGCATGCATAATGTCTGATTTCGATGAAAAATTTCACAAACAATGATTACTCAAAACCATTAATTATTCTTGACAGTAAAAAATGTCCGAGCCTTGAAACTTAAAATTTCACAAAGACAAGGTCATTGAAAGGTTCACACTTTAAATGGTTTCTTTATGCATCCAGACATGTAATAAAAACTAGTTCTGTAATTAATAATTATGAAACCATCGCCTACTTATAGGCGAGTTCAAAAGAAGTTTATTCTTTTGTTAGTTTTAAGTTATTAATCTACTTGCACATTTAGTTATCTACCAAATACATGACATATGTTGACAGATGGGATCATTGCAACAGCCGTCAGTACTAAAGGGGAAAAAAGTGATTACTGAAAATGACGCAATTGTTCCTAAAATATTCCAGAATATCCAGGCGCAGTTTAGCAAACAAATTGCTATTATTTACGAAGGTAATAACGCATTTAATTATACTAATTAATAATAATTCTATATATATTTATTTTAAAATTGATTTTTTGAATTTTTATAGACGAAAGTGAAGAATTTAAAATAACCTACGGGGAATTAGAACGGCTGACAAATAAATTAGCAAGGACATTAAAACGCTTGTGCCCTGTAAACAACAACCGAGATGCGATAATTGCTGTTTCAATGAAGCCGACATACAATTTGCCGATCGTGTTATTAGCGATTTTAAAATCCGGGATGGCTTATTTGCCATTGGACGGTGCATTCCCTCAGGCACGTGTTACACATATTATTGATGAATCACAGCCATTGATGGTTTTTGTTGACGAAGGTAATTTTTAATTGATTTAATTTCCAACTTTGAGCTTTGAAATTAAGTATACGTATAAATAAATACGTAATTTATCTAATCGAAAAATTTGAAAAAGATTCACCGTTTAGTTACTTAGATATTAAATTTCAAAAATCACATTTTTTATCTCCTTATACACGGGCTCTTATGGCGGACAAACGTTTAGTCGAGACTTTAATTATTTTTTTCAATATTAACCTCCCAACTTTAACGAATAAAAAACTATACACGCAAAACTTGGATTATTGTAAAATATAAAAAAAATTTAATAATAATACATTACCGATATAATTTGTTGAAATATTTAAAGTTTAATTTAATGTTTTTGACTGGTTTATCGTCATCTATTTATTCGAATAAAGATTTGGCAACGTCGCGTCAACAGCTGAGAAAAAACAAAAGGATAGAAATATAGTTACAGAGAGAGAAATATTTAACTCACACACTCATCCACGTCGCTGTAATGGGTATAATCAAACACGCTGTTGCCAAATCTGTTTATTTAATCCGGCAATTAATAAATACCAAAGTCATTTTATTACTTTATTTTATTAAATAAGTAAAAATCATCAATTATTAAATTGTTCAAATTATTTTAAATTAAAATAAAGAATTTTGACGAATATTGGGAAGACTGGAAGTAAAAAAAAATTTAAACATTGTTTTGGCTCATAAGTTACGCTCTAACCTTCTTAACTAGTGAAAAATTCTTAAACTTTGAAACTTATTACACTAAAAATTAAATTATTAATATTAAATATCAATTTTTTATACCGACCGTAGGTAAATATTTTTTAAGTCATGAATTTAGATTCCAAGGCAAGAAATAAAAATTTAATTTAATTTCTCTGCAAATAAAATTGTAAATATTTATAAAAATTAAAATTCCACTTCACTCAGCATAATTAAAAAACAATTTATATTAATTCATTTTAAATTGCGGCAAAAAATTAAACTGAATAACGATTAATGCGTCTGCGTCCTTGGCAATAATCTCCATTGCGAACTCTTCAAACAAAAAATGAGAAGCATTTAAAAAAAAAAAAAAACAATAAATCCATTTTAATGATTAATTACAAATAAGGCATGAGCTTCCTACTTCATTACTTACCGGAATTTAATGTCACAAGGTTGTTTTCTTAGTGAACCTCCACCCTTCACTCTTTTGCTTTACGAGAAATATAACATCGACAATTACCTTAACCAATCATCGAGACCAATTATATTGTTCAAGGAATTTATTTTAATTATTACCTTCAACTGATATACTATAAAATTCTTCAACACCTTATACTTATTATACTTTTAAATCCTTTAAACGTCGACGGACTGATACATTAATTAATACTAGCAACCACAGCAGTCGCTACGCGACTGCCGAGATTCCCGGATTATGAATAAGAAAATTTTTGCTTAATGATTTTTTTATATTTATGACACTATACATATTTTGGGTACTTTTGAAATAAATTTTAAAAATAATAGCGCTATCACAGGATCAATTACAAATAATTTAATGGACAAATGTGACGGAATAAATTTATAGAACCAAAAAACTATTGAAAACTCCTCCAAAAACTTGACATAAAAAATTGACTATCACTGAAAAATATATAAAACCGTGAAAAGGTATTAATTCTTGTCTCGACCTTTCTGATGATACCAAATTAAACTATAAAAATTCCTTTAAAAATAATAATACGCTCGTCACAAAATTTTTCTTACTCTCTCAATTATTTAAATGATAAATGACTGTCGCTGAAAAAATATCAAACCCAATTTACGATAAAGATATACCCGTTGAAAAATTTTTCTTAGTCTCTTAATTATATAAATTAATTTTTGACATATAAACCACATTGACATGTACAAAACAAAATAAATAAATAAACAAATTTTGTTTATCGCGAAATTCTAATCTATTTATAACTACTTCGAAAACTTATCATAATAAATTCCACTGTACTTTCTTAAATATTGACGTTTTTAACAATATAAGCTCATCCCGATGTTACACTCATCAAAAGCTTTCATCTGAGTACCCACATGCATTTTGATATATATTTATCATGTATATATATAAGTAATATATATCAATATATAAAATATATGAAAAATTGATCTGGGTACTCAAATGAAAGGTCTCGATGAGTGTAATGTCAGGGTGAGCTTATATCTTTGAAAATGTCAATATTTGACAAGATAGCAATGTCAGTTGTTAATATTATTGATATTTTTAAAGATATAAGCTCATCCCGATGTTATACTCATCAAGAGCTTTCATTTGACTACCCACATGCATTTTGATATATATTTATCATATATACATATATATAATATATATATAAATATATGAAAAATTGATGTAGGTACTCAAATGAAAGGTCTCGATGAGTGTAACATCAGGATGAGCTTATATCTTTAAAAATGTCAATATTTCCCAAAATAGAAGGTCATTTCTTAATTATCGCCTAATACATATGATATATATATATTTTAAAGATATAAGCTCATCCCGAAGTTATACTCATCAAGAGCTTTCGTTTGAGTACCCACATGCATTTTTGATATACTTTTCATATATATCTATATATAATATATATAAATATATAAAATATATTAAAAATTGATGTGGGTACTCAGATGAAAGGTCTCGATGAGTGTAACATCAGGATGAGCTTATATCTTTAAAAATGTCAATAGTTCACAAGATACAAGGCCATTTCTCAATTATAAAAGATACTAAATTTAATTAAAAAATTTATTTTATTATATGAATACGCTGAAGAAAAAATTTTTCTTATTCTCTTAATTATATATATAATTTTTTGTTCGCCAGATAACACACTGTCTTACGGCGAAACACCTGTAATTACATACAATGAGCTATTCGAAGAATCGAAAGCCGAATCTGAGCTTCCGCCAGAGTACAATGAAGATCCCAAAGAATTGGCGATTGTCTTGTACACATCCGGAAGTACCGGAGTGCCCAAAGGCGTGAAGCTGCCTCATGCGACTTTGATTAACCGGCTGGAATGGCAATGGCGCGAGCTGCCTTTTTCCGACAAGGAACGGAAGACAATATTCAAAACGGCGCTTACTTTCGTAGATAGCGCGCCGGAAATTTGGGGCTCTTTGTTACAAGGCCGCACCATTGTTGTTGTCCCTAAGCACGTGACAAAAGATCCGGAAAAATTCATCAACGTACTTGAGAAACACAAAGTAATTTATTATTTTTTAGGTTAAATAATAATAATTGGTGTAATTAATAATAATTGTTGTTATTAAAATTATTCCAGATTCAAAGACTAGTCCTTGTACCGTCATTGCTGCAATCAATGCTGATGTATCTGAGCCTTCAGGTTGATTATTTTATTTGAATAATTTATTTAATCATTGAGGAACAATATTATAAGAGTAATAATTGTAATTAGGTTATTCTAATTAAAAATTACTCGTTTAAAATATAATTGTTAGGATTTTTTTCAAAATTTGTCATTTCTTTTTTAGGATAACCATCGTTCATTAAAATCATTGAGGTTATGGATCTGCTCTGGTGAAATACTTCCTCAGACCCTAGCAAAAGAATTCTTCAGCCGCTTTGCCAATTTTGGACACACACTGGCAAATTTTTACGGCAGCACCGAAGTAATGGGAGATGTAACTTACTATTTGTTGAATGACATCAGCCAATTGGAAGATATGGACAAAGTTCCAATTGGACGGCCGCTGGACAACTGCATTATCTACATAGTTGACAAAAATTTGAACCTGGTTCAACAAGGGGAAATTGGAGAACTAGTTGTTGCAGGAAGGAATTTGGCCGCTGGTTATATTCGCGGAAGGGACTCTCATCGGTTTGTGACCAATCCTCATGCTATTGATCCTGGTAAGTTTCTGATGATTTTAATCCTAATAAACAAACTTGCCTTAATAACCACGTGCACGGAAAGAATAAGATGACACTGGATACCATCTCAGATTATACTCAGTGACATCTGAGGTGAAAAAAAATTTCAGATGGTAGCCAGTATAATCCAGATTATACTGAATAATATCTGGATTATACTCATTGTTATCTGGATTATACTAGCTACTATCTGAA